TGGCATTCCACCAGCAAGGTCCTTGCCAGCCCTCGTGACTTCCTATCCTGTGGGACTATCCTGCCCCCTGGAACACAGACTATTCTTGGATCCAGGCCTCCTCCACCTCTCACGGAAGCACTCACCTGCTCAGCCACAGCACTGATGCAGGGCACAGAAGGTGGTGGTGGTTAGTGCAGGCTGAAGACAAGGTGTCATGGGGCCCACCTGCCCTGGACCTGGCCCCTGGCCCACCCTGCCCCTCCCACTGCCCTCCAGGCCGCTGCACTCCAAGGCTGAGCAGCATCTCATGTGCGAGGAGCATGAGGATGAGAAGATCAATATCTACTGCCTGAGCTGCGAAGTGCCCACCTGCTCTCTCTGCAAGGTCTTTGGCGCCCACAAGGACTGTGAGGTGGCCCCACTGCCCACCATTTACAAACGCCAGAAGGTATCAAGCAGGGGAGGGAGCAGGCGTGGGGGAGTGGGGCTTAGGACAGGGTCTCACGTGGCAGCCTGGCAGCCCGTTTCTCTACTTGGTTTTGTTTGGTTTTTTTTGTTTTGTTTTTTTTTTTTTTTTTGAGACAGAGTCTAGCTTTCTTGCCTAGGCTAGAGTGAGTGCCGTGGCATCAGCCTAGCTCACAGCAACCTCAAACTCCTGGGCTCAAGCCATCCTCCTGCCTCAGCCTCCCAAGTAGCTGGGACTACAGGCACAAGCCACCATGCCCGGCTGATTTATATATATATATATATATTAGTTGGCCAATTAATTTCTTTCTATTTTTATGGTAGAGACGGGGTCTCGCTCAGGCTGGTTTTGAACTCCTGACCTTGAGCAATCCACCCGCCTCGGCCTCCCAGAGTGCTAGGATTACAGGCGTGAGCCACTGCGCCCGGCCTCTACTTGGTTTTAAAGTCAGGCAGATCAGGGCTAAAGTCCCAGCTCTTTGCTTGACTCAGTGAGTGACCTTGGCTATGTTCCTTGACCTCTCTGTCCCTCATTTTCTTCACATATAAAATGAAGATGAAAATACCTACTTATGAGAGTTGTCGAAAGGATAAAATTAGATAATAGATGAAAGCAAAGACTTCAGTATGTCAGATGAGATACTCTCAAGGTCCTTGCACTATCACACAACTAGATTCTGCATAAAACAGAATTTTAAAATGATATTGGCTAGCACATAGGAAGGAAAAGGAATCTCCGAGTGGGTGTGGGGTGGGGTGAGGAGGGGAGAGTGAGCTGAAAACAGAACCCTGCGTGGCAAACACAGAAAAGGCAGCATTTCCCAGAGGACCGATGCTGGCACTGTCACTGAGCTAGAAAGATCAGGGTATGCCTCCAAACCCCTACAAAGTAGGGATCCTGCACGGAAGACTCCTAAGATCCCAGGTTAAACTGGAGTCCCAAGAACTAAAGCAGTCAGTTGCGCCACCTGGCTTTGACAGAAGAAAATGCAAATTTTGCATGACAAAATATCTTCAATTTAAGCCCTCAAGTTTATACTTAGATTAAGATCAACAAAAGATTAGCTCAAAATTGAGCTACACAAAGAAATGCACTCCATGAGTGAAGTCAGAAGAAGCAAAAATTACAAGGAATTTAGATATTGAAATTAAAGAATAGAAAGTCACAATAAATTGAATGCTTTTTATAAAAAGATGGAGGCCAGGCATGATGGCTCACACCTGTAACTCTAGCAGTTTGGGAGGCTGAGGTAGGAGGATTACTTGAGGCAAGGAGTTTGAGACCAGCCTGGGCAGCATACTGTGACCCTGCCTCTAAAAAAAAATTAAAAACAGCTGTCGTGGTGGTGCAGGTCTGTAGTCCCAGCTGCTTATAAGACTGAGCCAGGAGGATCGCTTGAGCCCCAGAGTTTAAGGTGGCAGTGAGCTATGATTGTGCCACTGCACTCCATCCTGGATGACAGAGTGAGACCCTGTCTCTAAAAAAAGATAGAATAAAAAATCCAAGGAATTGTAGAATATCAAAAACCACCATGCAGATTTGTCAAAGAACCAAATAGAGCTTTTAGAAATGAAAGTATAATTGTTGAAATAAAATATTCAATGGTATGCTGTCTCTAAAATCAAAAAAAGAAAAAGAAAAAACTTTTAAGAAACATTCAGTGGATGAATTAAATGACAGATTTCTCTGAAGAGAGAATTAGTGAACAGGACAAGTGAACTGGAAAAAACTCCAGAATACAGCACTGGGAGAGGAGAAAGCTTAATGTAAGTCTAATCAGATTCCCAGAATGAGAGCATAAAGAGAATGGAGAAAAGGCAATATTATGAGAATGGATAATCACTAAGAATTTTGCAGAATTGATAGAAGACATGAATCTACAAATAATGCATCTAGCCCAGTGCCTGGCATTTAGGGGATGTTTGGAGATTGTCTATTCCTTCCCCATTTGGTGGTGGAGGGTTTTTTCTCTCCACCTCCTTCCAGAATCCATAAAACACGCTTCCATACTTTTTGGATCATTCCAAGCCTTCTAGATCTCTGAAGATGCCCTGATGTGGGTGGGATGTAGGAGGAAGTCCTCTCTTAGGCAGCCTTGGCTGGGGTGAGGGGAGCAGCTCTAGACCAGGAGCTCCAGCTCTAAGCACTGACCTGTGTATGTGGCAGAGTGAGCTCAGTGATGGCATCGCGATGCTCGTGGCAGGCAATGACCGTGTGCAAGCAGTGATCACGCAGATGGAGGAGGTGTGCCAGACCATTGAGGTGAGCCTGGGCTGGGAGGGAGGGGGGAGCAGAGACTGGCCGGGCTGGAGACCCAGGCTCCCAAGACAACTACTCCCCTCTGACCTCTGGCCAAACTGGTCAGGAAGTTTTTGGGCTCCTGGGCGCAGTGGTATGTGCTTGGCCAGGTTTCTGGGTTTGAATCCTCGCTCTGCTGCTCACTAGCTCTGTGACTTTGGTCCAGTTACTTAACTTCTCTGTGGTTTTGTTTGTTTTTAACTACATAAAATAGTTATGATAATATAATGGTTACCTCATGAGGTCTTTTTGAGAATTAAATGGAATAATGCAAGTGAAAACCAGGGCCAGGGATATGGATAGCATTCAATGAAGCTACTTTAAGATACCATGTTCTTATTACGAAAAGATCTGGGCTGAATTCTGACTCTGTCAGTGTAACCATGGATGGGTCACTTTCCTACTTGGCTCTCTGTGAGTTCCATTAAGTGAAGAGCCAGCAATGTACCTGGCGCTCTCTGGGGCCTCAGCCACGCCTTCTATCTTCCTTGCTCGGGGTCTTTCAGGACAACAGTCGGAGGCAGAAGCAGTTGTTAAACCAGAGGTTCGAGACCCTGTGCGCCGTGCTGGAGGAGCGCAAGGGCGAGCTGCTGCAAGCGCTGGCACGGGAGCAGGAGGAGAAGCTGCAGCGCGTCCGCAGCCTCATCCGCCAGTACGGAGACCACCTGGAGGCCTCCTCTAAGCTGGTGGAGTCTGCCATCCAGTCCATGGAGGAGCCGCAGATGGCGCTCTACCTCCAGGTGGGCCTTGGGGGAGGGTGGCAGCTCTGCACAGTACCTGGAGTCGGGGCCTTGGCACCTGGCGATGCAAGTTCAAGTCTTGCATCTACTTCCTCCCCACCTTGGGCAGGTCACCCCCTCTGAGTTCTTTTTCTCCTTAACGACTGGGCTGTGCATCCCCACCTACCCCGCAGGACTGTGGTGAGAATCAGAAATGGGACCTTGCCTGGGCTGGCCCAGTGCTCACTCTCACCCTCCTTTTCTCCCCTGCAGCAGGCCAAGGAGCTGATCAATAAGTGAGTAGGCAGAGAGGGAAGGGAGAGGAGGGGGCCGCGCAGCCCCTCTGCTGGGGACGGGCTTGAGGGAGTTGGGGCGTTGCCAGCCTAGCCGCTGTGGCCACTGCAGGGTCGGGGCAATGTCGAAGGTGGAGTTGGCAGGACGGCCGGAGCCAGGCTATGAGAGCATGGACCAGTTCACCGTGAGCGTGGAGCATGTGGCTGAAATGCTGCGGACCATCGACTTCCAGCCAGGTGAGGGGCGCAGGAGGGAGGGAAGGAAGGGCAAGGACTCCACCTAACGTGGTCTTCCTTCGGTCCAGGTGCTTCCGCGGAGGAAGAGGATGAGGAGGTGGCGTTGGACCGCGACGAGGGCAGTGCAGGGCCAGAGGAAGAGCGGCCAGACGGGCCATAAGGTGAGAGTAGTCCGAGGGGCTTGGAGGGCCTCGCTGGCACGCCCTGGCCCCTCCTCCAGCGATTTGCTCTCCTGCAGCACCCGAGGTCCCGTGGAGCCCCCTACTCCTTTTAAGTGCCCCCCAAGCCCTGGCGCCACAAAGGAGCGCCCCCTAGGGCGCGTAAAAGAGCACTTGCGTTTCCACCGAGCGCTCCTCTGAGGTTTGAGGAGACCAAGTTGGGCAGCCAGTAGAGGAGAAACCCACGTGGCTGCGGAAAGGGAGGAAGAGGGGGCTTGGGGGCTGCCTTGTTGCTTTGGAGCACCTGCCCACTGAGCTTTCTTTCCCGGGCACAGGCCTGCACTGACCCGACCACCATCGAGCAGCCCGAGCTTGGCGCTGGGGTAGCGGCGGATCTGCTGAGACCTCCGCACCACCCAGCTTGGCGCCCCGTCTCGAGGGGGGCTTCAATAAAGGACTCCTGCGTCTCAGACCGTATCTCATTTCTCTGCCCACTTCCATAGCTTCCGCTTGGGTGGCGACCCCGCCCTTCCTGGAAACCGAGACTATTAGGGGGTGGAAATGAAATTAACCTCTATTGGGCACCTCCTTGTTGCCAGGGGCAGACTCGTGAGCACAGTGCCCTGGGAAGGAGGTGGAGAGAGGTGCAGCGGTGCCAGGACCTTTGCGTTCCTGGGCATTTGGGGAGCCATGGGGCCCACAGGAACCTGGCTGAAAGCCATCCTCCCTGGACCTTCTAACCCCTCCCCTGCAGTCTCTTGTTCCCTCCCCTGGCCTGGTAGGCCCCCACTTTCCCAAGGATTCCCACCCTGCTGTGATTGCCGCGCCTCCATGACAGAAGCCAAAGGCTCTTCAGCACTTTTATTTAAAAAAATAGCCACACAGGGTGCTCAGGGTGTCCCTGGGCCGTTCTGCCCGCGAGACTGGATCAGTTCCGGTAGCTCATGTCCCAGCCCCGGGGCAGGAGAAGGGGTCAAAGTTTTCGTGGTCCCAAACTGGGCGATCACTTGCCCACCGAGTCGAAGATGATGCGGTTCTGCTCAGCGCGCTCCCTCTGGCTCTGCGTCCGTGACAGCTCTATCAGGGTCCGCAGCAGGTGGAAGGTGAGGTCAATGGACAGTGGAGGGTTGTCCCGTCGCGGCCTCTCGCCTGTGGTCGTGGATCCCCATCCGCCGGACCCGCTGCGGCGAGGAAAGCGCTCCGCCAGCAGCAAGAGGAGGGCGCGGGCCCCGCCGCCCTGGGTCTGCGCCCGGGGGTTCCATCGCAGACTCGGGTCCTGGACCCTGGCCGCTGCCGCTGCAGCCGCCGGGCTCCAGTGGCTGCTCCCGGAGCGCAGCTGTGCCAGGAGCAGCAGCGCCGCCAGCAGCGCCGTGAGCCCCGCCTGCCTCATGGTGCCGCCGACCCTGGACAGGGGCAGCGCAGGGTGAGGCACGCATGGGACAGCCGCAGGGGATGCACTCCCCGTCCCGCGCACGCACAGCGCCCCGCCGGGCCCCTCCGGCAGCCGCCCGGTGCCCACAGCCTGCCCTCCAGCCCCAGCCCCTGCTCCAGTCCTGTTCCACCCCTTCCACCCACCGTCCCTCCCGGTAGGTCGCAGTGGGTGAGCTGCGCAGAGTCCTGATGCCAAGGGAGTCTGGGCAAACGCTCGGAGCCACTCACAGGTTGTCGGAGAGCGCCTGTACCGCGCAAGACGGAGCTCCAATCTCTGTCCCTCGGGGCGGGCTGAGGGCGCCTTGGGGAACACGGGGTCTGTCCTGGGACTGTCGCCAGCCTTATATAGCGCCAGGACAGCTCCGACTGACGTCAGCGAAGAACATGCAATGATTGTAGAAGCAATGAGTCTGGCAGCTTGGAAGCCCTCGGAGGAGCACGCCTCCGGACACTAGACTTCGTGTTCCTGGGGCTAGCGCTGGAAGCGGCACTGGACTCAGGAGAAGCAAAAAGCCTGCTGGGGCATTAAGATTGCTCTGGGACCCACGAGAGCCCTCTGCCCCACTCAGAACAGCCATTAGTGACTAGGGCCTCCCCCCCTGACCAGACTAGTCCTAGTTCTCTTATTCTATGGCACACGTAAGGGAGGCGGGACCTTGGGGCTGTCCATGGTGCTGACCCTGTCCTCTACATCTAGAAGGGGCCAGAGATGTTGGGACAACACTGTGCAGCTCAAACCCACTCCCTAGCCCCAAGTATGAGTTCTGCAAACTGAGGCAAGCAGGAGCACACCGCTGGCACTCAGCCAACACTGTGAGACCCACCGAGAGGCGGCAGTCTGCCATAGCCAAAGTCTCCCAGGATTTTTCTTTCTTTCTTTCTTTCTTTCTTTATTTCTTTAAACCTACAGACCTAAAAGCATGAAAGGATTCTTGATCTTTTTCCAGCTCTAGGGTCCAAATTCTGGGGCTGATTGAGGCACCATATAAAAGAGGGTCTTTGGCCTCAGGGTGCTTTAAGACCACAAAAGCACCTTCTGCTTCTGAGTTTGCCCAGAGTGGTAGCTTAGCAAAGTTCAGATTTTCTCCTGGGAATCACAGCAGCAGTAGTGTCACTATGCCTATGACCTTCAGATTAGGATTACAGGGTAGGAAGTGAGGAAACTTGGGCTCAAGTTTTCACTCTGCCACTAACTCCTGGTGTGGACAGGTCACCTCCCTTCTACTGACCTCAGTGTCCTTGTTTGTAAAAGATTGGGTTTGGTGGTCTCTAGGCTTCTTTCCAGCTCTAGAAATGTTGACTCCCCAGTAGTTTTCTGTTTAAAAACTTACTCATTACCTCTGCAGGTTCCAGATTACATATTTAATTACATGTTTACTAAGGTACTATATAAAGGTGCCTTATACAGAGTACCATATAAAGGGTTTGAGGGGGGTCCCCAAAGAGGTGGAGTGACACTAGCACTGGGCAGGGTTAGAGTATCAGATGTGTCTATAAAGAGTGGGAACAAATGGCATTTGATAGGATCTGAGTGTAAAGTTGATGAGATCATAAGGTTCAGTAGATATGTATGGAGTGCCAAGCATGTGGTGGGAATAAGACTGTGATAAGGTTTTAGCAATTTCAAAAGCCGTAAGTTTACATTTCAGTAAGTTTAGCATTTCAGGGTGCTAATAAGTTCTTCCCAGCAACCCAACCCCATGGAAACTGATGTGCCCACCATCCAGGCTCAAGGTGGTCCCTGCCGCGGAACCACCTCCCTGCAAGGTGGAAATGACTGAGCGAGGCAGACTTAGAGCTGATGCGCCTTCCAGGACAGGTAGGAATTCCAGATAACAGCAACACACTGGACAACAGCCAACCTAAAGGACAGGAATAGCATGGTGAGGAGGAGGAGGAGGAGCAAGCTTAGGGGTAGGGATGGGCAAGTGCAGTGGGAGAGGGGTTATCTCAGAGAATGTCCAGATTTAGGTCTCCTTCCTCCAGAACTTCTGGAGGGACTGTGGCTCAGACCAGAGGACAACCAGCTCCAATTCTGATGCCACACCAGGACTCTGTCTCCTCATGAGACACATAGGTTAAATACCCTCTGCAGCTCTCTTGCCATGCATGGCTGTTATTCATATCCCTGTCCAGGACCCTTCTACATACATTTAACTATGTTGTACCAGCTGAGATTTCATCTTCCACAATGATATACAGAGCAGCATCTCTTTTTCTTTATTTTAAATTAACCTTGCTCTAGTTTCTAAGAGTGTTGCAAAGGATCCCAATGTTTAGGATTTGGTTGATAAGTCTGTGTTCCTTTTAGCTATGCTATTCATGTAAATTTTGGCCATGTCCCCCCTGAAGAGTTTCACATTTTCTGTGCCCAAGACCTGTCACCTCTAAGCATTTTAACCACTCGAGTTCCACGATGTTTTTTATTGTGGTTCAGCAGCTACCTTTATTGTGAGGGTAAAAATAACACTTTGCAGTGAACTAACCTGGCCAGGCTCCTACTTGGCTTTTTGGTCTACCTTTCTGCCTAACCTAGGCTGCAGCATCCCTGGCACTGTCCCTGCAGAGAGGCCATCAAAGGTGGTGAGCTCAGGTGGCATGGAGACAAGGGTTGTGGAAGCAAGATCCTCCCTAGGGAGATGGGAGAATGTCAGTGGGCAGACACTCTGGGACAGTTTCTGTAAAGGGTGAGAAGTTCAGAATAAAATGCTTGGGAGTCTGAGGAGCTCTGAACAGGGCACAGTGTTTCTGACTGGGGATCTAAAGTAGCTCAAGGTCGAAATGAGAATCATTTTGTCTCCAACTTTTGGTAATGTGGATCTTCCTTGATGTGTGGGATAAGGATCTGTCATACCTGTAATGAAGGGGGACCAAGTAGAAGTTGGCTAACTGCACAGCAGGCCAGAGCTACAAGAAAGAAAAGGTAAAAGTCAGATGGCGGCCCCGCCATCTGGCCCCAGACTCACCACCTTGCCTGGCCCTACCCAACTTCTGCGCACAAGACAAAGCTGCAAAACTGGGCAAGGGCTTTCCTGAGTATGGTGCCCACACTGGGAATGAGAGAATAATCCCAACAGAGGTGTTCCTATGTCAGAAGGACCCCCAATCCCAGGGCATTTCTGGACTTAAGGAAGCAGGAGACCAGGCAGTTGAGGTGTCAGCTCTTACATAGTAGTTGGTGATGAGGGCATCACGATAATCCTGAGGAGAGAGAGAAGGAACAATGAACACGTGCACCTCCAAGCAGCTCCCACGTGAACATCACACACAGACTTCTGTTCACAGAGCACACTCCTGCACCACTCCCCTCAGTGCCTCCCTCCGCGGCCTGGACTCTACCTGTACTGCCCCCTTTTGCATCCCTGTGAAGCCTGCTTTCTTCCCCTGGGCTGCCAGCCTGCCAGCCAGAGACTGTCCCCACACCTGCCCAGCTCACCCGCTGGAGTTTGGCCCAGTTGTCCTGGGCTGACAGTCCATTGAGTGCCCCTACCAGTGGGAGGAAGCAGCCTAGAAAACATGGGGCAAAGCCTCCCTAGGAAAAAATAAAAGCTCTGTGAGCGCCTAAACCCCCACCTACCCCCAACACAGCTTACCCTTCCTCACCCCCTTTTCCTTCTGCTCACCTGATCCAACAACATCTTCTTTAGTGCATCCACCTTGGTGGTGCCAGGGATGAACCGATCCAAAACCTTGTACCAGCCTCCTACTACGGGGCCCTGAAAGTAAACCCCAGGCAGGGGGCAGGCTACAGTAGGAGAGCACTGGACTTTTACATCACGAAGCTCCTCCCTAAAGTATCAGAAAACAAATCCTAGAAGCAGCAGACACTAAGACAAAAGAGGGCGGCAGGTTGGCTTAGGTGTGAGAAGGAAACTGAAGGATGACTTAGAACTAAGACCACTGTCCAGTCCTCTAAAGCCCCATTGTGGGCAGAACTTACCACAAAGCCACAGCCCAGAGATACCATGGTCAGGGTCCGGCCCGTCTGGTGTTCCCGCAGACCCCGCTTCTCCACCAGCTGCTGTGAGATAATGTCACCTACGCCCATCAGGGACCCTGTGCAGAGTACACAGGTATTGTCAGGACATCTCCTGGGGATGGGCTACCATTCCAAGGAGGGAGGGAGGTCTGTTGGCTGAATGAAGCTCTGGCAGTCTGAGCCCAGGGCTTCATGCTGGGGGCAAATGGCCAGTCCCTTCTTGCTGCCTCAAACCCTTCTCCCTAATGATGGTGACAGTTCATGTGTATCCTGTCAGAAACTGAGATGAGCAGGCCAGGGCCCAAGAACTCTGCATTGAGCAGTAAAAGGAAGTCAGAATCAGAAACTGCAGATAGAGGAAGGAGAATCGAAGTTCCAGGGCTGAGACCCACAGGCTATCAGAATTGAAAGGGCTTACCAGACAATTTAATCCAAAGCCCTTATTTTAGAGGCATGGAAACAAAGGTCCAGTCCAGTGCCAAAGCAAGAACCAGGGGCCTTGCTTTCCAGGCACTGTTCTTTCCAGGATGCGGCACTATGAATAGACATTGTGTAGACGGTAGGGAACCCTGTCCTTCTTCCCCCAGCCCTAATGCAAGACCCTGGCCAATGTCCTTCACCTTGGTCTTAAGGTCTCAATTCATGGAGAACAAGAATAATTCTTTTTCGGCCAGGTGTGGTGGCTTGCGCCTGTCATCCTAGCACTCTGAGAGGCCAAGGCGGGCAGATTGTTTGAGCTCAAGAGTTTGAGACCAGCCTGAGCAAGAGTGAGACCCCGTCTCTACTATAAATTAAAGAAATTAATTGGCCAACTAATATCTAGAAAAAATTAGCCGGGCATGGTGGCACATGCCTGTAGTCCCAGCTACTTGGGAGGCTGAGGCAGCAGGATTGCTTGAGCCCAGGAGTTTGAGGTTGCTGTGAGCTAGGCTGATGCCACGGCACTCTAGCCCAGGCAACAGAGTGAGACTCTGTCTCAAAAAAAAAAAAAAAAGAACTTTTTTTCTAGAACAAGAGTGCTCAAATGGCCCCAGGCAGGAAAATGGCTGGTTGAGCTTAGTAAGAGTCCCCAGAAAGAAGAGTCCTGGTCACCTCTTAGCATGATCAGCTAAACCTAGACTTCCCCATTCATAACCTCAGATTGAACAGGCAATGAGTATAGTAACCATTTCCCCCAGATCTCTGCACCTGCTTCCCCTCCCCTAATTGCACAGATACCCAGCACCAAGCAGCCCTCGTAAGACACCCACATTTAGAAACCAAGACAGAAATCGACACTATTTACAGAGCCCCTGGTCAGTTATGGTGGCGTGATGGTTTCTAGCAAACATACACTTACAGGGCTGCTTGGGAATGACCGTATGATCTCCAGCTCTCCTGTCTATCTCACTGAGTAATGAGAGCCCCCGCTCCAGCCCCGCAGCCACCACAGTCCCTGTGCCCTCAATTAGCACTGGGCAAACACATCCTTCAACCCCATTCCTTGGCCCGGAGCTGCTCTGACGTCCATGCTGACTACACACTCACTGCTCTGCTCTTCTTTCACACTCTCTGCACAGCCCTGCCCTGACTAGCCTCATCAGAAGCATCTGGGTAAGGCTGGGAGCTAGGGCTGGGCACCCATAAGTGACCTGGGCTGCTGGCCACAGAGCAGCTCTAAGGAGCCCCCGTTACCACCCGGCATACCACCATCAAGGCAGTTCTTCCTCATCTCACCCTGAAACTCTCAGAGTGGTGGGGCTCTTCCCAGAACACTGTCAGACATGACCTCCCAGAGGGCAAGGACAGAATCCTAGATATCTCTGTTCTCCTCTCCCCCACCACACCTAACCAAGCCCCCAGCAGGTGCCCAGAAAATAAGCAAAGGAAAAATGTCAAATGTACTGTTCCAAACAACAGGACTGTCCTGAGAAAGGGCATGGAGAACTCTAAGTTTAGCCCAAAGGACCAGGTCAGGCTCAAGGGGTAAGGACCTCAAGAAACTGCAGGCTTGCTCCCCCAGCCCCAGGCAGTTAGCACTTAATTCCCTGTCCCCCTCTCAGACCTTGGGGTCACCAGCTGCACTGGTAGGAAGAAGAGGGAGCTGCTGCAGCCATGCATAAAAGGAATAGTGACTCTGAGAAGGCCAAGGGATAGTGGAGCAGAAAAGGCAGTCACTTCTTAAATGAAGGGCCTAACAGTGTGACAGTCTACTCTGGTAAGATGTTTACAGCTGGCCGGGCACAGTGGCTCACCCCTGTAATCCTAGCATTCTGGGAGGCCAAGGCGGGCGGATTGCTCGAGGTCAGGAGTTCAAAACCAGCCTGAGCAAGAGTGAGACCCCATCTCTACTATAAATAGAAATAAATTAATTGGCCAACTAATATGTATAGAAAAAATTAGCCGGACATGGTGGTGCATGTCTGTAGTCCCAGCTACTCGGGAGGCTGAGGCAGTAGGATCGCTTGAGCCCAGGAGTTTGAGGTTGCTGTGAGCTAGGCTGACGCCACAGCACTCGCTCTAGCCTGGGCAACAAAGTGAGACTCTGTCTCAAAAAAAAAAAAAATTTTACAGTTATGTTGTTTTTTTTTTTAGACAAAGTCTCACTCTGTTGCCCAGGCTAGAGTGCCATGGCCTCAGCCTGGTTCACAGCAACTTTAAAGACCTGGGCTCCAGGGACCCTCTTCCCTCAGCCTCCCAAGTAGCTGGAACTATAGGCACATGCCACCATGCCCGTCTAATTTTTTCTATATATTTTTAGTTGGCCAATTAATTTCTTTCTATTTTCAGTAGAGACAGGATCTCGCTCTTGCTCAGGCTGATCTTGAACTCTTGACCTTGAGTGATCTGCCTGCCTCGGCCACCCAGAGTGCTAGGATTACAGGTGTGAGCCAACGCCATATATTTACAGCTTGCAAAGGGCTCTCACACCCTTAATCCTCACAAAAGGTCTGGGAGGTAGGTGGTCACACCTCCATTTAATAAGGAAAGAGGCTTTGAGAGATGAGTGACTTGGTAAGGAGTGGAGTTGGGACCAAACCAGGCCTTCCCTCAAGGAGGAACAAGGAGGCGGCTGCCCCTCTGCAGGGGTTTCCTGCCCAGGCAAGGCCCCAAATGGCCCACATGTCAAAGACACTTCCTAGCCTAATGGATTTCCTCTCTGTCTTTATTCCCCAGAATTCTGTCACCTCTGTTCCTGGTTCCCTCGTGAGAAGGGCAGGCAGCAATATTTCTGGGAAAGAAAGAGAGAGTTGTGTGTTTTTACTCTTCACAACTTGCCAACAGTCACACAAGCTAAAAGCAGAGCTGAAATGAAAACTCAAGTCCTTGACTTCTAGCCCCATAGTCCCAGAAGCCTGCAGCCTTTGAGGAAGATGGATTCTAGGCTCCCAAACATTAAGCCTGAGGGACTACCAAGAGACAGGGCAGCAGCAGAAAACTGGCAGCAGCCAGTTTTGTTCATTTCAGACAGAGCAGTACCCAGATGTTCTTTCTCTGCCCACAGATGATCAGGCCCCTGAACCTGCCACAACTCCAGGGTGGTCTAAGTCTTTGGTCCAAGCACAGAGCAAGGCCTGCTTCTCTGGTCCAAGTGATCCTTGTGAGCAAGAAGGGCTCAGACATTCAGATTCCTCATCGCACCTGCCTTGACCCAGAGTCCAAACAGACCAAACCGCCTTCGGGAGATCTAGACATATCTGGTTGGTCTGGATCTTCCAGTGCTCTAGCTTCCATCTCCTTGGACTTGTTTCTAGGGAGTTGGGGCTGGAGGCCTACAGACATATGATGCCCAGAGCCCTGGTGGGGCAGGGTGAGGGGCTGCTGGGTAGCAAAGCCCAATGACAGGCTGGGCGTGGAGCCCAGTGAGCAGACACTGGCGCAGGTGTGACATCATGCCCCTGGGTAGGTGCCAGTTCTCATGCCGTCACTCCCCACCAGATCCAGGGGCCAGGGGGAGGGGAGCCTGCCTCTGAGCACAGACTGATTTGGGACCACCTTCTGCCCACTAGTGGAAAAGCCCCAACTCCCACACCCTCTTCCCAGGTAGCGGTAAATTCCCTACTTCCTCTATTTGTTCCTCTCCTGGCTTTTGTGTAGAGTCTTATATCCAAGAAAATAAAGCATTAACAGTAGAGGGGCAGGAAGTAGCTTCTTGGAATGAGGAGCAGGAAGTGTGTCCTTGAGTACAGGAGGCCTAGGTCAGCAGGTATAGCTGCTGGCACGAGGCCAGCAGTGCTATTCTTCTCCAAAGTCTCCAACCATTAACTAGCTGCCCGGGGTAAGGACTTGGTCTGGCATAGAGCCTAGAGGGAGCTGAAGCCCAGCAGTAGGAGGGGAGAGTGCATCCTCTGGGATTGGTCTGAATGCTTTCTCCATTCCTGGCCTGAACCCATCCTACTGCTAGAAAATGAGACAAAATGGATGGTTTTGCAGCTAGTCAGGTATCTAAGCCCAGACCAGCTGGGGCTGAGCTCAGCATTTGGAGACCTAAGTAGTCTCAAATGCAAGGCAGTGCCCTAGGTTCTAATGCCAGCTCTACCACTCACCATATGAGACCCAGTGCATGTCATTCCCCCTCTTGTCTCAGTTTCCTTCTCTGTAGTATCAGGCGCTGGACTGGATGCTGTAAGGCCTGTTGAGCCCTCATATCCTGGCTTAATTCAGATTCCAGGGAAAACAGTGTCTGCAAGAGCTCAGCTGCTCCCATGACAGGACCAGGGTGGCCTAAGATGGATGGAGCTGGGCCCTGGGCCCACTGGAGACTGCAAGGGTCCTCAAAAAAGGAAGGAATAAGGCTGACTCACACTCTCCACAGAACATGCAGCAAACCTTCCCCCAGGCTGCCCTGCTCCTGACGCTGGCTTGGCCAAAAGTGGTTTATCAGGCACTTACTGCAGTTCAACCTGATAGAACCTTGTTTCAGGCCTATGCCATACCTGGGGCTTTGTGTTGATGCCTTCAGTGACTATGCATGTGCAACCTGGTAGTGGAGGGGAGTTAACATCTCATGGGGTGAACCTTTGACCAATGTGGGATGGAAGCTGGTGGATAAAGGTCTCTTCTTTTCTCTAAAAATGACTATTTTTCCAGACAGTCCTAGGAAGCATTTCAAAGAGCTTCTCAGTCAGTTAGTTCCAAGAGACTCAGCAACCAGTTGCCCTTAGTGGTGGCCAATTTGATAACACATCCTTACGCTGGCTTTCCCTTTCCCTCCATGGGATTATGTCCTACTCCCCAACAAAGTATCTGCACATAAGCTGCAGGCTCTGCTATAACAGTTTTCCATGTTCAGATTTATGGCAAGTGGAACAAACCCAACCCAAACACCACTATAAAAAGAATAGCTTATTGTGCCTATGTTGCCAACAGTCATAGAAAGAGCCAACCCTTTGAGCATTTCTGTTTATTGAGCATTTTTTTATTTCTAAAGCTATTTCACAGATATAATCCCTATACTGACCCTGTTAAGTCATATAACTAAACTCCAGTTCTAAATGAGGAAACTGAGGCCCAAAGAGGTTTACTCACTTGTCCTGATTAATGTAGCTACTAAGTGCTATGGCTCTGAGATTCAAATCTTGGTTTTCTAACTCCAAGTCTGAAATCTCTGTTCTATTTTACAGTATAATGAGTGATCCCATGGGACCTTAAGAACTACTGTGTTGGGGCCCAAAAATGGCTCAATGAGCTAAATCTACTTCCCCCCTTTATCTATAGTCTGATCCAAATACACTGAACTGCAAGGAAGAAAAAATCTGAAAGGTCTGGAAAAGTCTGAGAAAAGTACTAAGGAGCTACAGGTTGTTTCAGGGCTGAGCTGGGATATGGGCATAGCCTCAGGAAGGTTGAAGATATGGAGCTAAAGTGCTCTAGCACAAACAGACCAGAACCCCAGTTTAGCCAATGGTCTGAACTTGAGCCCCTTGGAGTTCTAGTTTCTGCACCTGTCAGCTGCAGATCCCTTGGGTAGGGAAATACAAGGACTATCTTTCCCTCCCTATTCTTGACAGCCATAAGGGGGAACCTTCCATTTGGCAGTTACAGGTCCTGAGGGAATCTAAAGCTGGGCAAAGGGCCCAGCGTGTCAGTTCCCATCACAGCCACACTGTCCAGCATGAGTCACCACACACGCAGCTAGGTTGAGTCATACAGGCTGACGGACACTCTGAGGACAGGACAAGAGGTGGTTGGGCACCGGACGCTGGAGAGGGGCCCAAGGTAGGGCAAAAGAGTCTATCTCCAGGCCATTCATGTAGTGAAGTTTCTAGTGAAGTAGGACTATTGTGGTAATAGGATCCCTGTTCCACCCTAGCTGTCAGTAGCTCCCAATCCCTTCCAACAGTCCTCTTCTCAGAAGCCCAGGGTCCTCATTAAAATCCTGTTCCATTCCTCTAAAACCCCCTCTTAACCTGATAACCCTTTGCACTACCCCAATGGTTCTTCTGATCCTTCCCCAAGACTTACTCATCCCCAGGCCACCCCTTTCCATTAGCCAACGTGCAAAATGAAGATGGTAACAAATGCAGGTAAGTCACTGCATTACCTCTATGAGGTTGCTATTTAATTACTCAATTTGGAGTAAAAAAACTTTGGTAGTTAGTATATTGTTTAGGGATACATACATAGGTAGTAAAAAAGAAAAAGAATGATATAAATAAAACTCAGGAAAGTGGTAATTTCTTAAGGTGAGGTGTTCAAGGGATCACAAAGCTAGGTACTGATACAGGAGTGTTCAGTTTTAATACTACTTAAACTGTACATACATGTCTTAATCATTCTTTTGTATATTTCACAATAAAAATACTAAGAAAAACAAACAGGTAAGAGTCTTGATTCAGCATGTATTAGCTGTGTGATCTAATGTGGGTTCAAGTAATCCTAGATCACCCACCTTTGTGGGGGGTCTCTACAATATAGTGAATATGAAAGTGCTTTGTATATGTAAAATGTTAGAGAAGTATTTGTTATTGTCAGTTTTCCAAGTTGGGACCCACTGGGGCAATGCTTTTATCCTTAAAAACTGACTGCTCAGCTTTTTGAGGACTTTCAAATCTTATCTCACAGCTAGGCCAACTATGCATACCCCTTAAAAACAGCCCTGGGGACCCACTCTCCAAAACAGAATGGGGACAGCTTGGGACGTGAGACAGCCAACCCTTCAAGGAGGGTGAAGAGAAGCAGGAAATGAGGGCACTGAGGAGGTGTGAGCCTCTGCCTCCCTAATCAGCCTGCTGCTCTGGTCCCACTCAGGTCCCAGAGGGACACTCACCAGCTGTCAAGACCTGTACTTTCCACGGGTGAGCAGCCAGAGCCCGCTGGTATGCCCGCCAGAGTGCCATGCTTCCTGTCAAGCCAAGAGGAGAGGGTGTCACCACTACTGCCCCTACTCACAATTAAGGAGCCTCTAGACATTCTCTCGTGCCACTCCCTCTCCCACTTTTCACTTCCAATATGTCTTAAACCAGCAGAGGCCAGAGGAGGGATGCTTCTCGGACAGCTTCCTGTCACAGGGATCGCCTTAGACAACTGGGGAAGAGAGAAGGGCTGTGAGCAGCTATGGACTCTCGGTGGCAGACACCGACCACCCTACCCCTAGTCCTAAAGCAGGGCCACCTGGAGGCCTCTGTTCCCAACTGAAAAACTCATGAGGACAGGCTTTCTCTGGCTTCCACCCAGAGCCTGGGTCCCAGAAAAGTGAGCCTGGTCGGTCTCCAGATTCTGACTCTTAGTTGGATCCAGCTCGTATCCTTTCTGAGTCCAACTCCATTCCGGAAACAGGTCCCGTCACTGCCCGGGCCCGGAAAGATCACATGCCCTGTGGGCGCTCCCGCAGCGCGACGCTTTGAGCCTGTGACCGCGGATCACCTGCCACTCACCTGCGCACGAGCTGGGCTCGGAGCATCCCCTCTCACGTGACTTGAGCTGACCGAGGGACTTCCGCTTCAAGCCCCGCCCCTTCCGCCCGCCACCCCGCGGACCCTTGAAGCCCGATGAATACGAGTCTGAGCCATTAAAACCGGCGGAGGAAAAAAAAACCGGTGGAGAGCTCTGCTTGGTCCACCCACTCTGTGAGCCACCCCTTTCCCAGTTAGACCTTGGTGTGGGGCCCGCCAGCCATACTTCCTCCTCCTGCCCCTTCTCTCCCAGAGGCCCCGGACGTCTCTCCACCAGGATAGACTCTCCTTATTCAGCCCACACCCCCTGCCCAGAACTGGCCAAGGTCCTGGCATCCTTCTGTCTCAGGAACCAGTTCGGGAACTATAAGCAAGTTAACTGCGTGCGTGTGCTGTCTTGTGTTTCTAGGTTATTAGCCTCAACTGTGTTCCTGATTGGGTGGGACTAGGACTTGTTCATATTTGTCGTCCTCATAGCTAGTTTAGTGCTTTGCCCAATGCAGTCCCTTTAAAAATGCTGCATAAAAATGATTTCCACCGAAAGCATTGGAATTACAGAACCTCACAAGAGTTTAGGTATTGTCTCCATACCTAACACGCTGTGTAGCCTTTGTCATCACTAGGTTTGAACGTAAGGTTCTTCATCTGTTAAATGAGGGGGTTACAATGTTTTACAAACTGGGTTCCTCAGTTCTAGGGGTTTATAAAATGTTTTTGTAGGGGGGTATGAAGGGGAGGCTCACTACAGGTTCTCTTCTTCTCAACTGTTTTTTAAATATATACTTCTTTAAAAAGCCATTTTTAACAAGGGTGCCCACAACTAAGCGTTTCAAAACCAGTTAATCTCCTTCCAACTCTAATAGTCTATGAATATAGTACAATATCCTTTCTGGGGCGGAAATGTCTACACTATCCGTGGCAGTGGATTTGTCAGGCTGGCAGCCTTTGCTTATCTCCAGAGAGCCCACACGTTAGAGAACAGACTCTTACAGGGCTCTCTACCCACCTAGCTGCAGCCTCAGTTTACTCTATTCTGGTATGATTGAGGCAAGGAGAATTCTGTCACGAATCCTGGTGAAACAAGAGTAAGGAAGCAAGAGAATTCAATGTCAAAAACATTAACTAAAAGGCTCCGATATCTGAAACACTGTGCTAGAGTGAATTTACACTAGCAAATGTAATAGGAGATCAAATGTGGTAGGTTGTAATGTTGTACTCTGAAGTTAGACTATCTGGGTTCAAATCCCAGCATCACCACTTAGTAATTAAATGACCTTGTTCAGACTTACCCTCTCACTCTTATCATTATTAACATGGCAAAACCCACTGGGTACAGCAGCTCATGCCTGTAATCCCAGCATTTTGGATCACTTGAGGCTAGGAGTTCAAGACCAGCCTGGGCTATTGCTGGTAGTGAGACCTCATCTCTACAAAAAATAAAAAGATTAGCTGGGCATGGTGGTGCACGCCTGTAGTCCCACCTACTTGGGAGGCTGAGGCAGGAGGATTGCTTGAGCCCAGAAGTTAGAAGTTGCAGTGAGCAATGATTGTGCCACTGTACTCCAGCCTGGGTGACAGAGTGAGACCCTGTCTCAAAAAAAAAAAAAAAAGGCAATACCCACCTCATATGATTAATAGATGCAAGGTGCCTGAAACGGATCAAGTGTTTAATACTTGTTTATCCTCTTTTCCCTTCCACCCCCTTGGGAACACATGGGAGGGAGAATATTTTTTACTGGTAGAAAACTGGGAAACTCTTTGGTGAAGGTAGAATTTGAGCTGGGATTTCAAAGGATGAATGGAACTTAGGTGAAGATGGAAAAGGACACTACTGGAGAAGTGAACAGTGTGAGCAAAGGGACAAAGGTAGAGAAGTACAAGAACCAGTGGATAGAACAAAGTGGATACACTCTGAGGGAGGGTTGGAAGGGGTGGTCTAGGGAGAAAAAGGTTTCTGGTAGAAAAAAAGAGGCAGATCAAGACTAAAGCTGAAACTCAGCCCTGCTAGAGCAGGGCTGCCAGTACCAATCTACAGCCTCAACAGTGTGGGTCCCCAGATACCATCTTTTCTACCATTGAAAGCAGGAGAGGGACTGCTATGTAGAATGAGCAAAGCTTCTCTGCAACAGAAGGCACTTCCTTATGAGTCAGCTCAAAAAACAAAACCAGCTCAATGTGAGCTGGATCAGAATAGGGCAGTGCAATACTCGGCTCCTTTGCATGGATGTGGATTGTAGTCCCACTGCTAATGAACCTAGGTTTCCTCCAGGTCTGTTTCCTTGTCTGTACAAGATAGGGATTGAACTTCTTTTTTTTTTTTTTTTTTGGAGACAGAGTCTCGCTTGCTGCCTAGGCTACAGTGGAGTGCCGTGGCGTCAGCCTAGCTCACAGACAACCTCAAACTCCTGGGCTCAAGCGATCCTCCTGCCTCAGCCTCCCGAGTAGCTGGGACTACAGGCACGACGCCACCATGCCCGGCCTGATTTTTATCAATATATACTATTATATTTAGTTGGCCAATTAATTTCTATTTTTATGGTAGAGATGGGGTCTCGCTCAGGCTGGTTTTGAACTCCTGATCTTGAGCAATCTGCCCACCTCGGCCCTCCACAGAGTGCTAGGATTACAGGTGTGAGCAACCGCGCCGGCCTGAATTGGGAACTTCTCTTGATTCCCTTCTTTTTTTTTTTTTTTTTGAGACAGAGTCCTCGTCCTTGTTGCCCAGGCTAGAGTGAGTGCCGTGGCGTCAGCCTAGCCACAGCAACCTCCAAACTCCTGGCCTCAAGCAATCCTGCTGCCTCAGCCCTCCCGAGTAGCTGGGACTACAGGCATGCGCCACCATGCCTGGCCAATTAATTTCTTTCTATTTATAGTAGGAACGGGTGTCTTGCTCTTGCTCAGGCTGGTTTCAAACTCCTGACCTTGAGGGAATCCCCCGCCTCAGCCTCCCAAAGTGCTAGGTATTACAGGCGTGAGCCACCGTGCCCGGCTCTTTTTTTTTGAGAGAGTCTCGCTTTGTTGCCCAGCCTAGAGTGAGTGCCGTGGTGTCAGCCTAGCTCACAGCAACCTCAAACTCCTGGGCTCAAGCAATCCTCCTGCCTCAGCCTCCCGAGCAGCTGGGACTACAGGCATACGCCACCATGCCCGGCTAATTTTTATATATATATATAGTTGGCCAATAATTTCTTTCTTATTATAGTAAGACGGAGGTCTTGCTCTTGCTCAGCGCTTTCGAACTCCTGACCTTGAGCAATCCGCCCGCCTCAGCCTCCCAAAGTGCTAGGATTACAGGCGTGAGCCACCTCGCCCGGCTCTTTTTTTTTTTTTTTTTTGAGACAGAGTCTCGCTTTGTTGCCCAGCCTAGAGTGAGTGCCGTGGTGTCAGCCCTAGCTCACAGCAACCTCAAACCTCCTGGGCTCAAGCAATCCTCCTGCCTCAGCCTCCCGAGTAGCTGGACTACAGGCACGCGCCACCATGCCGGCTAATTTTAATATATATATATAGTTGGCCAATTAATTTCTTTCTATTTTTAAGTAGAGACAGGGTCTTCGCTCAGGCTGGTTTTGACACTCATGACCTTGAGCAATCTGCGCCACCTCGCCCTCCCAGAGTGCTAGAATTACAAGTGTGAGCCACCACGCCCGGCCTTGATTCCCTTCTTAAAGGTTTTCTGACATATTATAAAGTCCCTACTCTAGAGAGGTAAAAAGCTATTCCTACATATAGGAATAACATTTATCGGGTGTCGGGCAGGGGGGTGGGGGGAGGAGGGGATGGGTATATCCAAACATGAGTGAGATGTGCAACGTTTGGGAGATGGGACAGATCCCATCTTTTCTACCATTGAAAGTAGGAGAGGGACTACTATGTAGTAGGAAGAGGTCACACTTGAAGCTCTGACTCAAGGGAGGAGGGGGGCATGGCAATATATGTAACTGTAAACATTTTACCCCCATAAATAAAAAGGTAAGAAGGAGGAGGCGAGGGAGAGGAAGGAGGGAGGAATGAGG